CATGTCTGTGTTTACATTCTGATATAACATCTGCTAAACTGTGGTGCTCAGTAATATAGCTGGCTATTGCTGTGGTGTTAGGGTTAATTCTGGGGAACACCATGCAATCTCAATTCAATACAAGAGGATATAAATAATGGAAAGATAGAGATCCAGGGAAATAGTGGATTTTCTTGAGATCACTCTTAATTGTCCAGAGACAATAGGTCATGCTGAAGCAATTTAAGCAATTTATGTAGCCTTTAACCACCAAAAGCCCTACTTGAAAATGTTCAGCCATGTGAGTGTGTGTGTGTGTGTGTGTGTGTGTGTGCTTTCCTGCCAGCTGCATTCAGAATGAATACTTACAGTCTGAATGTTAAGTCCAGAGAATAATAGTTTGGATAAAGAAAGCTTGTCAGGGTTTTTACTACAACTTTGTTATGTGCAAAGTGAGTGCCTCTACTATTGCTTTGCTTTCAAACCTGAAGGCATAAAAGGGGCAGCCAGGTCAACTTTGTTTTAAAGTTTCTTTTCCCCTGCTATCAGCCTCTACCATTTCTCACCTTTTAAAAATTAATTCTTCAGATAAGACTCACTATGAAGTTGGCCCAAAATGGTTTATTTTAAAGAATGATTTTAGCCCTAGCCAGTTTGGCTCAGTGGAGAGAGCATTGGTCCCAAAAGTTCCATTCTGATCAAGGGCACATGCCTGGGTTGCAGGCTCGTTGCAACATGCAGGAGGCAGCCAATCAATGATTCCTTCTCATCATTGATGTTTCTATCTCTCTCTTCCTCTCCTTTCCTCTCTGAAAACAATATTTTAAAAAAATAAGAAAAGAATGATTTTATTTATTTTTTAACAACATAAAATGGTTTTATTGAAAAATAATGGACATTACATCACTATATAACTTAAAAGTGTACACCATGATGGTTTGATTTACATATATTGTGAAATTATTTTAGTGCTCTTGTTTAAAGTACCACCGAAGAAAGTCTTTACCATTCTGGATATGAATGGATCTTCCTCCACAGATAAAGGTATTGACTGGGGAGGGAAGGAAAGGAAGCACTTAGGAAATTATGAAGTCTGGCTGAAGGAGAGTCTCATTTTAGAGAGTTGACAATTGAGTGAAATAAAAAAAAAAAAAAAAACAAGAACCTCTTGGGTATAAACACCAATGACCTCACCAAGGGCTGACCTCCTAGGCCTAAATAGTCACTCCCACCCCCAAGCCAACCAACATTCTCCAAGACACATTTCACCAAACACTTAATAATTTTTCCATAATAGCCTTTAATACTAAAATGCATTAAATTTTTGAAGCAGAGAAAACACATTTAAGAGGGAAACAGAGAACCACCAGATAAAAGGAAACAATGTGGCAGATAACACCATTTAAAACATAACTGTAATAATTTAATAAAGCTGCTTTATCATCTTCATAAAATAGACAGAGCGGTGATTGTATTTTTTCTTTTTTTTTTCTTTTTACAATGATTCTATCACTGTGAAAATGTACATAACATACAGATCAGCATATACAACAATTTCATCTTCATATAATCAGCAACAGAGACTGCTTAATGAAACATACTTCACTTCCATCCTTCTAAATTTCCACCCTGGTTTGACAGGTAAACAGTAATAGTGTCATCAGGCTCATTTCCCTCACTAGAGGAGCAAAGCCCTAAGCCTTTGCAACTAATACCTTAGCATTCAAATAACACACGGAGGTATTTGTTGCTGAATTTCTAGCTTGAGCTAGTCTGGCTCTTGGTCATTAAAGTCTGTATCCTAGCCTTCCTCAGCTGAATTCCAGCCAGTGCCAGTAAAAATTTATTTAACCAGTACTGTAATGGTGTTAGCTGGTTTGTTTGCTAAAGTTGACAGCAACTTTCAGTTAGTAGCAAGTTTATATTTAATTGCCAACACAGCTGGAGCAACAATCAGCATCATCAGATTTTCCTAATGACCTACAATGCTTTCCAATCAAGATCAGGTTTTTGTGGGTTGTTCCTTACCAAGAGCACCTCACAGTATATATTTCAGACAAGGTGGTTGATTTTCTTTGTTTTACAAAAGCAATATGAGTTATATTTTAAATTAATTCATTTTTGCACAACAAATGACCCACGGGCCAATTCCAGCTTCACAAGAAAACAAAGAGAGCTGCAACAACTTCATTAGGACAATGTGTTTTGCTCTGGAATATTTCAATATCAATATAAAGTCACCCAGTCCCACCCCCACACATCCCCATTGAATATTACTTTGTTATATACTTAAACTAAAGAACAACATCTCAATACACTTCAGTATCAGCAGATACAATTTGACTCATGAAATGACATCCTCAAATGTAATTTTACCGAGAAGGCAAACACTAGGACTGTATACAATGGACTTCTTAAGCTCATTTATGCCAGTTTTTCAAAGTCATTTAGGGTCTTATTACCCTGTGAAAAAAGCCAAGTGAACCAGACTTGTCAAGATGCTTTGGGGAACATTCAACATCAAAATGATCCCCATAAAGGAATAGAATTCCAGTCAGAACTTCTATTATGTACAATAATAATTGTTTTCCCACCCTGGGTGCCCAGCCAAGCTGTCCCCTATAACCCTGCCTCTCCCCAAACTGCCCTATGTTCTTGTTGCTTCAAGTGGACCACTTTTTTTCTGTTTTTAATGACATGACAGAGCTATATGGAAAATTCAACTGAATTCCCTTCATTCAATCAGTTGCAGGCTGAAGTAATACTACCAGAATGATACTCTGAGTGGTTTCAGTTTTCAGTGTTCTAAATTGTATTCCTTTAACATTTTTTATTAGTGATCAATGGGTCACCATGTCAATGAATTAGTTTAAATAAGCATGTTATATGCAATTAGTTCTATTAGGTAGATTTATTCTGGAACAGTGATATTCAAACTGTGGCCCCTGGACTAGCTGCATCAGCATCACCTGGGAATTTTAAAGTAGACAAAGACTGCCCCCACCCCAGGTTTACTGATTAAGAAACTCCAAGTTTGGAGCCATCAACCTGTGCTTTAACATCCCTTAACCTTTAGTGGGCATCTGATCCATATGGGTTGTTAGGCCCCTCCCACAGAGTCTCTGCTTCAGTTGGTCTAGGTGAGAACTAAGAATGATCATTTCTAATAAGTTCCCAAGTGATGTTTTTGCTGCTGGTCCAGGAACTACACTTTGAGAATTACTATCCTTAAGTTACTGGAGGATCCCTTGGCCCATTACCTATTTGGGCAACAATGTGGGCCATAATTTACTCTACTGGCTGTAAGAGGATCAAAAGGATAATAAGGATCATTCTGAACAGGTTCAAAAGTTAATTGGTATATGAAAAGGGGAAAAAAAAAAGAGATTCCACATAGCATGGCTTCCCTCTTCCTATTCCTTGTATATAGTATACTCCCATATTGAGGGAAAAACAAACAATCAATGCAAAGTAAACCCTTTATGTCAAATGAAGAAGTTTACCTGCCCTGGGGTATGCCCAAAACAAGTAAAGCAAGACTAACTCCTCCTCAAAAGGGACATCAGAATAAATGAAATAGACTTCTTTAGGATTTAGGAACTAAAATTGCTTTTGCATATCTAATTTTATAACATATTTAGAAAGGGAAAAGTAAGAATATTTGGCTCTCTGGCCTTTGTGACTTTTTATCAGACATGTTAAAAAAAAAAAAAAGGGTGAAAAATATGAGCCAAATTGAAATTTAGGATCCTTGCACAAAATTCCTATTTGCAGGGCAGCCTTCCTATAAAACCAGCTTACAGAGCCCTTCTAGGATGCACTTGTGCTTCTGGGAGGATATATACATCAGAAAATTGTGGAGGGAGATGTTTTCTTAATAAGGGGACTTATCTAAACATGCTCAATCAAGGGTTTGAAAGCCAAAAAGTATCTAACTTCCCACTGAAAACAAAATATTTTGACAGGAACAAATGATTCTTCTATGGCTGGGTTCTGAATTCTGAGAAGAGGGGATGAGAGAGAGAGATGCAAAATCAACGCCATTGCTACTCTAACCATTTTAAACTTGGCTGATAAGAGGTATGGTAGCCAGTGGCCTCTCTGGCTCAATAGCCAAATAATATTTAATCTTCCCACTTTCAGTTTTTTTTATTCCCACTAAGCATAATAAGAAATACACTGGAACCAAAATAATCAAATTTGACTTATAAGTGACCTTGAGGTGATAAGTAAGACCATAATATCAAGATGGATCAGGTGAGGAGCAATCTAAATTCTACAGGTAGTCATCATTACTTAAAGGGAAAAGAGTTTATTTTAATTTATTAATTAAATAGTCATTCGCAAACAGAAATGCATGCCTAACTCAAAACCTACTACTAAAATGAGTCAAAGGGGGGAAATGTATCGGAGAGAGTAAAATGAGCCAAGATGAAGATGCTATGGCAATTGATTACTAATCACTTCAGTTTCAAGGGGAAATCTGCAGCCACACCAATAATTTGTATGAGGTAGTATTCAGCACTAAATAAGAAATAAGGATGAATTTGTAGCTTAATTATAGGTTCTTTTTCAGAAATATTCTCCCCTACCTAACTCCATTTCACTGCCTTACCCTCCCTTCCTGAAAACCCTTTCCCCCTATAAAAGAACATATTCCTAATAATGTATAAAGGCAGGAACTCAGGTAAAAAATAACTAAAACATTTAAAAGAGCTGAGTTATCTACATAAACTTAAGAAAATAAATTCTCTTTTGCATTCTAATGTTCTAATCTCTAAGCCAGTGGTTCTCAACCTTCCTAACGCTGTGACCCTGCAATACAGCTCCTCATATTGTGGTGACCCCAACCATAAAATTATTTTGTTGCTACTTCATAACTGTAATTTTGCTAGTGTTATGAATCATAATGTAAATATCTGATATGCAGGATGTCTTAGGCAACCCCTGTGAAAGGGTTGTTCGACCCCCAAAGGGGTCATGACCCACTTGTTAAGAACCGCTGCTCTAAGCTTTTTTATTGGGTACTCTTGAATTTAAAAAACTAAAACCAGTGAGAACAGAACCACAAAACTTGTTTCTCTAGAAACAACTCTTGAACTCTTAAGCTGCAAGAATACTATGTTGGCTAGTGAATATTAATAGACAGTTTATAAATGAGGGAGTTGAAAGAATGTTAAACAAAAAATGTGTATAACAAACTTGTTAATAAAAAAGGTGTATTCCTAGCCTACAGCAAAGAGTTAGCTAAATCTAAAGAATTTTTATTTTAATAGTTTCCTGTTCGCATTTTTATTTTTAAAAAGTATTAGTCATAAAAAGATGAGTTCAAGTGTCCAAGTGTCTCCATATAGAAGGCACAGTAATTGAGATAGTGATGCTGTTACCTGCTACCTGTCTTTTTCTAAAAGTACATTTAGTACTGCTTATACAATCCCAAATTATAATCCTGCAATACAGAGCAACATGGAGTTCTCAATTCCACCCCATGACATGCTTTGTAGTATAATTCTAATCATGACTGGGAAACACTGAATCAGGAAGTGTATCTAAAAATATGCTAATTTAGATCTGAAAATAGATTCAGTCTTTTTTAATTTTAGGTGATTGGAATCAGGGAATTTCTAAGCCTGGAAAATGGTAACTTCATGAGCAACTTTCCTGTTCAGGGCCTGAGAATTAGAAAAATTGATTTCATGTTACTTTCAACACAGCACTTCTGACAAATTAGATAGCAGAATATCAAAAAAATGACTTTCTGCAACGATCTATCACAGATCTGGGCAGAAGACCGAAAGGCAGGCAAAATACTCTACAAGGTGTAAGCAACCACTCCATTGGTATCTTCCAAGAGTGAGTATCCCCAAGTACTTATCTATACGTGTGGTATTACTTATTCACTTGCCATCTCAGTTTGCACTTTGTTTTTATCTGTAGTTTTATTTATTTTTTAAGAAAAAAACACCAATCTCTAAAAGTCTTTTGCCATCACCACACACATAGCAATTTGCAATATCAAATACAACAATAGCACAGCTAGCAAAAGGGTTCTTAAAGCAGCGGTGTTCACAGCAAAGTAGTGGCATTGGAAACTACTTGAGCTTCAGAAACAATCTTTTAGGGGCTCAATTTCACATCACTGAATCAATTAATAGTACACAATAAACGACCATTAACTTGCCTACACTACAAAACAGTGGCAAGCTTATTAAAAGTGTCCACAGATTTTTTTTTCCTTTTTTAAATGTAATCCTCCACAAACAATGTAATTTATATTATAATTTTGACATAGAAAAATATATAAATTCAAACACTTATACATAATACTTTTCACAACTGAATTCATCTGTTTCCCCAACATCAAGGCCCCATGAACAACTCAAGCCAAAGCTAATTTGCTCCAACGGAACACCCCTGCTGCTTGTGGAAACAAGGGATTGTCACAAAATGATAGTCATTTATAAACAATACATTTAGGGAAAGCTCTGAAATACAGCCACTCAAGAACCAACCATTGGTGAGTAATTAAAATGATCAGCTCCTGCTTCTTCGCTAGCCAGCATGGTTTCTTCTTCCCCGAGGCTGGTTTAGAGAACGATATCCTTCAGACGCTTCAAGCCAGGAGACTCTTTGTTGCGACCCTCCTTCAGAATGGGGTTGACCTCATGCATGACTTTCTCGCTGTCAGCTCCACGAGGCTCAGCTTCAGAGGGACGAGAAGGACCACTGTTGACATACTGCTCCAGATCGCGGGCGGGTGGTGCCAGGGCAATGGTGTAAGACACGGAAGGCTTGGTAGGCAGAGGGCTCTTGAGATGCAGAGGGGAAGTGACAGGGCTAATAGCCTCACAACCATTGCCCGCCTCCCGGATAGCGCTATTGACTTTGGGGCTGCAGATGGTCACATCGACAGTCCTCCTGCCTTTCAGGGTGGGCCTCTCCTCAGTGGGGTGGTCGCTGACATCTTTTCCAAAGGTTGCGAAAGTCCGCTTGGTGGGGCCGCAGTCGTCATAAGCCTCAACATCAGCAGCAGTAGCTTCAATGGACAGAGCGATGATATTCCGCACATTTTCAGGGGACTTGGAACGGGTGGGCAGGGGGTTCCGGGGCATCCAGCACCTGTCAGAGTGGCCAAGAATCCGGCATTCTTCCCTGCAGTGAAATCCCTCATTCTGATCTGTTTGGAGAAAATAAAATGTCAATTACATCAGTTTTTCCCAGGAATCATTCTTACTCTCTAACCTTCTGATTTCTTAGATGTCCACAGGCCCTTCCCGGGAATGGAACTTATAGATAGTCCTTTATTGCCTTTTGGGACAAGTGTGAAGAATTGGAATATATATATATATATATATATATATATATATATATATATATATATATATATATATATATATTTGATTTCAGGGTTGAAGGGAGAGGGAGAAAGACATAGAAACATCAATGATGACTGAGAATCATTGATCAATCAGCTGCCTCTTGCACCATGGGGGATCAAGCTCGCAACCCAGGCATATTCCCTGATCAGGAATTAAACCATGACCTGCTGATTCATAGGTTGATGCTCAACCACTGAGCCACCCACCGTGGCAGGGCTAGACTTGGATTTTTAAAAGGCTGTAGACCTTCCCCTGTAAATGCCCCCCCTTTTTTTTAAATATATTTTATTGATTTTTACAGAGAGGAAAGGAGAGAGATAGAGAGTTAGAAACATCAATGAGAGAGAGTCAACGATCAGCTGCCTCTTGCACGCCCCCTACTGGGAATGTGCCTGCAACCAAGGTACATGCCCTTGACCAGAATCAAACCCGGGACTCTTCAGTCCGCAGGCTGACACTCTATCCACTGAGCCAAACTGGTTTCAGTTAAATGTCCCCTTTTTATTACTGTTTTCACTGTTCCCACTGTTGACAAAACTAAAAACCTAAAGAGAAACAATTGTCAGAGGGGAGAGGTTTGAAGGGCCATGTGAAAAAGATGAAGGGATTAAAAACAACTACCCATAGACACAGACAACAGTTTGGTGATAGCAAGAGAGAAAGGGGTGTGGAAAGAGGTAGAAGAAGATAAAGGCGGGATAAATGGTGACAAAGACTTGAATCTGGGTAATAAACACACAATACACTGTGGAAATGATGTATTATGAAAGCATACACTTAAATCCTATATAATTTTGTTAAACAATGTCACTCCAATAAGTTCAATAAAGATAAAAATGCACACTATGATAAAATTATATATTTTTTAAATATATAATTTCAGTGTCTTGAGAGTCAAGACACTGAAAGCCAGCATTGTATTGACAAGTGCTGCTAAAAATCAACTGTATTTGAGAGTGGTTACAGCAGCAGAAGTAGCGGAATTAGAGCAGGTAATGCAACAGTCAGTATATCTGAGAAGTTTTAGCCATGTTTTTGAGCAACAGCACTTCCAACCACATATCCACCCTACCTGTCAATGAAATTGAGTGCTTAAATTTGGGTTGGTATCATGCTATCTTTGAAAGCCCAATTATAATACATCACCTTTTTAAAATTACTTTATTGATAAAGGTATTACATATGTGTCCTTATACCCTATTACCCCCCATCCCTCCCCTCATGCTCTCACCCCTATGTTGTCTGTGTCCATTGGTTAGGCTTCTATGCATGCATACAAGTCGTTTGGTTGATCTGTCCCCCTAACTCCCACCCTCCCCTAACTTCCCTCTAATGTTTGATGGTCTGACCAATGTTTCTCTGTCTCTGAATCTGTTTTTATTCATCAGTTTATGCTGTTCATTATTTTCCATAAATTAGTGACATCATGTGATATTTAAATTTCTCTGACTGGCTTATTTCACTTAGCATTATGCTCTCCAGTTCCACCCATGCTGTCGCAAATGGTTTAAGAACTCCTTTTTTATGGCAGCTTAGTATTCCATTGTGTAGGTGTACCACAGTTTTTAAATCCACTCATCTGCTGATGGGCACTTAGGCTGTTTCCAAATCTTAGCTATAGTAAACTGTGGCACTATGAACACAAGGGTGCATATATGCATTCTGGTTGGTATTTCTAGTTTCTTGGAATATATTCCTAGAAGTGGGATCACTGGGTCAAATGGCAGTTCCATTTTTAGTTTTTTGAGAAAACTCCATAATATTCTCCCCAGTGGCTGGACCAATCTGCATTCCTACCAGCAGTGCATGAGTGTTCCTTTTTCTCCTCATCCTCACCAGCACTTGTCATTTATTGATTTGCTGATGATAGTCATTCAACAGATGCAAGATGATACTGCATTGTTTTGATTTGCATTGATTAGTAACTTTGAGCATGTTTTCATATGTCTCTTGGCCATCCTTATGTCTTCTTTCGAAAAGTATCTATTTAGGTCTGTTGCCCATTTTTTGATTTGGTTGTTTAGCTTCTTTTTGTTAAGTTGCATTAGTTCTATGTAAATACTGGAGATGAAACCCTTATCAGTGATAACATTGGCAAATATGTTCTCCCATGCATTGGGCTCTCTTGTTGTTTTGATGATGGTTTCTTTTGCTGTGAAAAATCTTTTTATTTTGATGTAGCCCCATTTGTTTATTTTCTCTATAGTTTCCTTTGCCCAAGGAGGAGAATGAATGAAAAAATTGCTTTGACATATGTCTGAGATTTTGCTGATTGTGGATTACTCTATTATTTTTTTAAATCATTTCCCATCTTATGATTAAGTCCTTTGTCCATTTTGAGTTGATTTTTGTGTATGGTATAAGTTGGCGGTCTAGTTTCATTTTTTTACATGTATCTGTCCAATTTTCCCAACACCATGTATTGAAGAGATTGTCTTGACTCCATTGTATGTTCATGCCTCTTTTGTCAAATATTTATTGAACATAGTGACTTGAGTTGATTTCTGGGTTCTCTATTCCATTCCATTCATCTATACATCTGTTCTTGTGCCAGTACCAGGCTTTTTGAGAACAGTGGCTTTGTAATACAGCTTGATATCTGGTATTGAGATCCCACCTACTTTGTTCATCATTCTCAGGATTGCTGTGGCTATGCAGTGTTATGTGTTTTTTTATTTGTTTTGTTTATTTGTTTGTTTTGTTTTTTATTACAGATGAATTTTTCGAAAGTTCATTCTGCAAAATGTGTTGTTGGTATTTTAATGGGGAGTGCATTGAATCTATATATATATATATATACATATTTTTTTTGTAATATGGACATTTTGATGAAGGTGATTCTACCAATCCATGAGCACGGTATGTTCTTCCATCTGTTATGTTCTTCCTCTATCTCTTTTTTCAGTGACCTATAGTTTTCTGAGTAGATGTCTTTTAATTATTTAATTAAGTTTATTCCTAGGTATCTTAACTTTTTGGTGCGATGGTAAGTGAAATTGTTGTTTTAGTTTTTCCTTCTGTAAGTTCATTGTTGGTGTATAGAAATGCCATAGATTTATTGGCATTAATTTTGTATCCTGCTACATTGCCGAATTCGTTTTTTAAGTCTAATAATTTTTTATAGAGTTTTAGGGTTTTCTATGTACATTATCATGTCATCTGCAAATAAAGACAGATTTACTTCTGCTTTTCCAATTTGGATGCCTTTTATTTCTTCCTCTTATCTGATCGCAATAGCTAGTACTTCAGTACTATGTTCAATAAAAAGTGGTGAGAGTGGGCATTCCTGTCTTGTTCCTGTTCTTAGGGGAAATGGTTTTAGTTTTTGAACATTGAGTATGATGTTGGCTGTAGGTTTGTCATATATGGCTTTTATTATGTTGAGTTATGATCCTTTTATTCCCACCTTGTTGAGAGTTTTTATCAAGAAAGGGTCTTGGATTTTCTCAAATGCTTTTTCTGCATCAATGGATATGACTATGTGATTTTTTTATCTCTCAGTTTGTTTATGTGATGTATCACATTTGTTGATTTGCAGATATTGTACCATCCTTGCATCCCCAGGATAAATTATACTTGGCCATGGTGTATGATCTTTCTGATGTACTACTTGATTCAATTTAGTAGAATTTTGTTGAGGATTTTAGCATCTATATTCATGAGGGATAGTGGCCTGTAATTCTCTTTCATTGTGTTGTCTTTATCCGGTTTTGATATTAGGTTGATGCTAGCTTCATAGAATGATCTTGGAAGTGTTCCTTTCTCTTGAATATTATGGAATAGCCTGAGGAGGATAGGTTTTAGTTCTTCCTTGAATATTTGGTAAAACTCCCCTGTGAATCCTTCTGGCCTTGGGCTTTTGTTTGCTGGAAGCTTTTTGACGACAGCTTCAATTTCTTCCATAGTTATTGTCCTATTGAGATTTTTAGATTCTTCCTGATTGAGTTTTGGAAGGTTGTAATTTTCTAAGAATATGTCCATTTCCTCTAGGTTGTCTAATTTGTTAGAATAGAGTTGTTAATAGTATTTTATTTTAACAATCCTTTGTATTTCTATGGTGTCTGTTGTTATTTTGCCTTTCATTTCTGATTTTGTTTATTTGGGTCCTCTCTCTGCTTCTTGGTGAGCCTGGTAGAGGTTCATCAATATTGTGTATCCCTTCAAAGAATCAGCTGTTGTTTTACTTGATCTTTTGTATTGTTTGTTTGTTTTTGTTTTTGTTTGTTTTTTGTCTCTATGTCATTTCTTTCTGCTCTGATCTTTATCTCATTCCTTCCACTCACTCTGGGCTTTTCTTGTTGCTCTCTTTCTAATTCCTTGAGTTGTACAGTTAGATCATTTATTAGCATTTTTTTTCTTGTTTTCTCAAGAAAAACATTTCTCAAGAAAAACATTTCCAAAGCCATATATGACAAACCTGTAGAGCTATAAACTTCCCTCTCAGGACTGTTTTTATTGTGTCCCATAGATTTCGGATTGATGTGTTTTTATTGTCATTAGTTTCCAGGATTTTTTAATTTCTTCTTTGATCTCTTTGGTAACCCAATCACTGTTTAGTAGAATGCTGTTCAACTTCTAAGTGTTTGAATTTTGGGCGGGTTGTTTTTATTGTAGTTCATTTCTAATGTTATGCCATCGTGGTGTGACAAAAAATACTTGATATGATTTCAATCTTCTTGACTTTGGAGAGACTTTGCTTGTGACACAATATATGGTCTATTTTTGAAAATGTCCCATGTGCACTTGAGAACAACATATATTCTGTGACTTTGGAGTGAAATGTTCTGAAGATGTCAAT